GAAAGGCTGTGTGAGAGCAGCCAGGCACTGACAGAGGAGTGGAGATGTCATGTGGAGCTCTGCATGCTCAGATGGGCTGACCTGCAAGGACAAGCACTGTGTTTTTGGACTTGTACACACCCTGTTTTCACACAAACATGTCATGTAGATTTGTAAAATGCAATAGCTGCCGAGCGTATTTTACACAGTCACAGCCTAGTGAATGAAGGATCCACTAATTAAGAAGCCTCTAATTAGGCTTTTAAATGATAAAATGTAATGGCTCTAGTGCAGCTGTTGTAAACTATAGAGTAAATTATATCCAGTTGAAAGAGGCCTTAATTATGTAATTATATAACATACTCTAAAGACTTCGAAAGATAAAAGAATTTTTAGTATCTGCAATTAAAAAAACAAGGGAGTAACAATAGAGCTCTTAAACCAATGAAAGCAAGGAAATTCAGAGTTAATCTGAAAAGCTGTGGTACTTTCTTTTATTCTCACGTTGTTCTAATTTTTGGAGGGTTGTTTTTGTTCTTTTTTGTTTTCATGATGGATGATATAAAGAACTATTGTCAACCAGGAGTTTATGTCCCCTGCTTTTGTTTTTCTTGCTTTTATAGGTCCATGTACAGCATTGATGATACTCAGCAAACCTTCTAGGGCTTCATTTTTGCAGAAATCCCTAGCAAGAACACACTTATTAGCCAGCTTGTCTCCTTGCATTTTGATTTACAGAATGGCTGGTTGTTGCACATGCTGTTCTGAAGACAACAGGACTCAAATGTTGGTCACATTTGGCCCCTGGAAATCATGTTTAGGCCCCATCTAGCGTGCATGTTGTTGGTGCAATGTTGGCAGCCATTCTCCATGCTGGACTTACCAAGTGGAAAAAAGGGTTTGGATATACCTGGGACAATTCAGCTAAGTGGAGATTGCACTCGGGGCTTCTTTTTTTTGCTGCAGTGAAACTCAGGAGAGTTTAGCCCTTGCCCACACTGGGGCTGGGCCAGCCTTTAGACACCAGCACTCTTCCCTTCACCCCAGCTCTGAGGTTCCTTGGGAACCTCACCAGCTCTGTCTCCAAACCTGCATCTGCTCTCAGCCTCCCTCACTTACCAGCCCTGGCTGCTGCCCTTCCTTGCCATCTCCAGTCACAACTGACACTGATGTGCTGCAGTGAGCAAATGCCTCTTTACAGAGAAAAGGAAAGATGTCTCTGCTGTGAGCCTGGTGGCTTTGCTCGTCTGTTGCCAGTTCTTTTCTTTTCTCCAGTTACTGCTCCTCAGGACAGGGCTGTGCTTTTTGTGTCTGTGAGCTGCACCACGTAGAAGATACAGACTGTAGGCTGTGATGTGGAGAGAGCTTAGCTCCTACAGCTGTTCTTAGGAACTGGCCTTCACAGCTGTAGGACCAAGCCCTCCATGACAGCCAAATGAGTGATGCTTTTTTTGCTTATTCCAGCCACATCCAAGTATTTTTATTTGGAAATGTCACAGTAAGGGAAATAAGGAATACAGATCTCATAGTAAATTTTTATGGCTGATTAATTAGCCCAAAGAGTATTAAATTGTGCTAATGTAGTTTGCCTCTTCGATGCTGTCTTTTGACTTCAATGGAACTAAATACATGCTTAAAGTTAACTACATGCCTAAGTGCTGTGGTGAATCGGGGCCTAGGGCATTAATTAGAACTTGGCTCAGATTTACTTTCAAGGCTTTTCCCCCTCTTTTTTTTTTCTTTTTTTTACTCTTCAGTGCTCAGCAGTTTAATTGGTATGCAGATGTTCCCCTTTATTGCTGGCAGAGGCCTCTGTCACTGTTCTGAAGGTACTCAGACTTCAAGGCTGGTACAGTGGGCAGGAAGAAACCCCCCCTGAGGGCTTTCAAGCTTTGTGGGAAATAATGATATATGAGACAGGGATTCCTTTGGAACCTGAAGGGAACATGACAGACAGAATAATATGGGAGGAAAACATTGTCTTCACAATTGAGACTGATGGTCTCATCTTGTCTCCTTGTTATTGTTACCAACCAGGACTGAGATGAGCTTTCTTATGAAGAACTTCATTTTGTGGCAGGTTCTGTATGTTGGGCACACTGCGCTCAGTGGTAGCTTTCCATCCAAAATACAGATATTGACAGGCCCTGAGGACCCCTTTGAGGTGGTGGTTTAGCCTAAAACCTAAAATTCCTTCCAGCATTGAGATGCATTTTGTCAGGAATGACAGCTGCAATTTGATAATCTTTTACCACTTTGCCTGCCCCTACGAAGAGTTGTTGGGCTCAGGAGTGTCAGCTTTATGAATCAGATTTTCTCACACTTTATTAATTTCACTTTCCAGTGGTTAGTGCATGTTTGCAAGAGACAATTGATTTGTAGGGATCTGTGCAGGATGGAGCAAAGCTGGAACTAAAACAGGAATGCAAGTTGACAGCAATGCAATAACTCTAATTGACAGACACCAAAAGCACTATTTAAAGCAACATCTCCTCTGATATTTAGGTTAAAAATGACCCTCAATTTGTCCTCAGGTTGCTATGTCCAAAAAGAAATGGTTTTTATGTATACTCATTTCAAATGGATTAGCCAAAAAATCAAGTGTTCATATTCTATACTTTTATTTTCAAGTTAGAGATGATTCAAGCTGCTCTTGTGCAAGGTACTGGAAGATGGCTGTTTCTTAACTCCTCCAGCGTAAAAGCTGTCTTTCAGGGGATGCTTTGCTCATGTGAGATTTACGTTAGTATTTTTTGGCACCCACAGTTTGCATTCCAGCTAATGGGAGAAGGACTAATACACTTACTGTATGTTGTGGGTGCAAAAATGCAAATAGAAATTACACCCAGTGTGGAAAGGGCTAGGAAAATATACCTTCTTGGATGTGAGCAGGGCAGGTTAGGAAACATCATCTTCCTTTTACAATTGTCTGTTACTCTTTACATTTCTGGAGAACTGGGATCTTGCTGTTAATCTTACAAAAATAGATGCTGTGGTGAAGCCTCAGGCATGAATAAAATTGGATGTTAATCTTAAAGCAGATTTTTTACAGCTATGCACTCAGAGCAGTGAATCCAAATGATTTTGGAAACTCTGTAGTTTTTACTTATTTAGGTCAAAATGCTGTGGGGAAAAAGGTCAGTGGCACAGGTACATAGTGTAACATTTGGGGCTCCTGAAAGTTCAGTAGATAAGCACAGCAAGTATTAGACATCTCTGACTTGACACAAATAATAGGCAAAGCTAAAAAAGCCTGCTGACAAGAGGAGTGGGTGTTGGTGGGTGACTTGCTGCAGTTTTAGAGCTGTTAAGTGTAGGTTTTTTAGCATTTTCATTATTTAAAAGTGGAGTGGTAGTTTCTTCACTCCTTCTGAAAAGTTACTAATTTACTCTGAAATATAGGGTAAGCCACAATGATTTAACAGATTTGTAATATGCTTTAGAGTGACTTTAAGTAAGATACCCTCCTTCTCTCTGAGCTTCCCACTGTCTCAGCTCTGCCCTCACTCCTTTCTCTGTGTACATCTGCACCAAAATGCAAAGCAAGGGCTGCCCCATGCATGACTTTCAGGTGTATCCTGTGTCAGCTGGAGTGCCTGGATGGCTGTGACCCTGGTGCTCATGCAGGTTTGCCTGATTGCCAGAGCTCAGAAAGACTGACAGTAACAGGCTGAGCTAGCTACGTTTGGATATTGGGAATAGCAGCCTAGACTCTGGAGTGATTCAAAAGCTGCTGCTCTGCAGGTGGACAGCCCTTTCAGGAGGAGCCCTGACATACAGAGCCTGCCTTTTGCCTAATGCATGGAAAGTGCCTAGTGGAGCATGGCCAAGGGCTGTGATTAAGGTCCCCAGGATATTCCTGGGATACAGGCAGCGTTAATTAATCTGTGGTCCTCTGTGTCTGATTCAGAGAAAGCAGCTGAGTTGTATTCCCGAGGGGCTCCCCAAGAAGGGAGGCAGCCTGCAGGGATGGAAGGTGCTCAGGACATTTTCTTCTGTTGTCAAGCTGAAAGGTGTCATGCCCACAGCTGTGCTGAGTAGCCATGCCTGTGGCAGGATGCTTCAGCTGCGGGCCTTTTGCATGGATGGTGTTTAAATCTGATTGTGCCTCTCTGAGAAGGAGCTGGTCATGCATTTACTCAGAGAGATCTCTAGTGGTTTGTGGTAAGGAATTGGGACCTGGGGCTGAAGCCACAACCTCCAGGACCAAACCACAGAATTTACACAGCTGCCAAGGCCTGCCCGTTTGCCTTCCCTGATGAAAGTCTGTCACCACACAGCTCTTGCACTTCTGTCTGCTCTAGTCCTTATTGATGGAGGGAAGAACCTGTTTTGTTCAATATAGCAATGATGTCTAGCTCAGTTTAATTTTACTAGCTGCTGCTGGTTTGTTGCTATTCAGTGCATCCATGGATTTGTTGAGTGTAACATGGAGGGGTGTGGATTGGAGACAGAGACGACACACACTCAGTGGTCCTTGTGACAAACAGCCCTGAGTTTATTCCCACAGCTCCTTTTGCAGAAGCTCAAATTTCCCTAGCCTACACAGGTGATCTGTTGAGGTCTTAGAACCATCCAGATCTCTGGCCAATGATACATCTGCATTTAGGGCTGAATGACATTGGCTGGGGGTCCCTGTGTAGATTTGAATCCGATCTATCCTTGCCCACCCAGGGGCTGTAATGCTACAGTTCAGTATCAATAATCAAGGGTAGAAATACTTGAATAGAAAGCCAGGTGGAAATGCTGAGTTTCTGGAGGACTCCAGGATTTGTTTTGCTCTTCTTTGTTTCCCTGTTCCAGAAGGTGTGAAGTACACTTGTCCATTTGTAACTGAAACTATTCAAGATGAACAGGCCTGAAAGGGCACTTTAAATTTCTCTTGCTGTCTGGTGTAGTAAAGATCTTGTCTTCTAGAAAACATTATGAATGTAAGCTTTTGTTACAAGGAGAGGAGGTGAGTTTGTGTACTCAACTTCTATTTGGAAGAATATTTTGATGTGAAACATTTCTTTTTCCAGAGGCTTGAGCCAACTGCTTTTGGTCTGGGAGCTTACAGAATGGGTAAGTGCAGCTGAGTTGTGCTGGGTAGATGTCACCCTTAGGGATTTGTGCATGGATCTCTCCTTGGCCTGAACTGGAGAAGGGCAAGAGTTTGTTCACTTTTGCTTTCTGTCACTGAGAAAAATGAATGCTGTTCTATAAAGCTATAATTTCTTCCCAAGTAGATGATGACTAAAGAAGGCCTGAACTGAGTATAGATAATCTTATATTTACTTGAAATGAATGTAGCTCATAACTCTTATTTTAGCACCAATCTGGAACACTACTGTGAGCAGATTTATGTCTGCTTCTTCCCTACCTTGGCATTCTGGCATTTATGCACTCACTGGTAGTGCACATTCTTGCAGTGATATTTGGGAGTTTAATGAAGCCCAAGTGTCTGAAAGGTGAGTGGGTAAAAGGTAGATACTTTGAGATCCAAACCTATTCCTTTTGTGTGCTCCACAATCTTATTTTAGTTCTTAAATATGGTTTCATTCTTCTGATACTAAGAGTCAGCACTGATTTCAGTATGTGAGTCATCAGGAGAGTTATTAACTATTTTCTAGTTGCATGGTCCTTTGTTGCAGCACTGAAAATATCTAACTTCAACCATGTGTTTTTAGACGAGATACTCACAGGAAGCCTTTTCTGTATTATAGGAGAGCAAATTTAATCTGGAAGTCATTGAGAAAAACCAATAAAGAGCTTCCTTGATGTGATTTTTGGAGTTACTTGCTGGAATTGAATTGCATGGTTTTGGGTATTGGACAGAAGGGCAGTTAAAAGCTTAAAGAAGCTTAAATGTAGATGATAATGAAAATGTTATTGGTATTTATAGGTTGGTTGATAATAATGTCAACATATTAAAGTGATATGAAATATCTCCTTGATTTCATGGACAGTGCCTTACATTATATAGTTTATTATAATAACATGATCCTTGATATACACTGATGATATGTTTAGCTTTATAACTTTTTTTTTTAGTAATGCAATTGCCCTGAAATGCCATATCAAAAGTATGCTTATTACAGAACAAGTACAGTTACTGTCTGCCAGTGTTATCTCTATGAAAGCAACCTAAGCTAAGAAAGCACATTTGGAAAAAACGTGCCAAGCAGAGGTGGTTGGTGGGTTTTTTTTTTCCCCTTTTGTTAGACTTTCTGGGAACATTCATTAATAGTTGGAGATGTGGTCTTTCAACTAAATTTCTTTCACCCAGATTATATGCAAATTGCAGGATTCTTCAAGCATAAAGTCATATGCCACGAGTATGATATTAGCATTTCTTTAATAAAAATAACTTTGAAATTCACCTTGTTTGGTGAATTGCCTTCCTTATCATTCATCACTGTGTAACATCTTTGCAGAACAACAGTAACTGGAAGGAAGGAAAATACTGGACCGTGTTTCTTGGAACTGGGATTGGCAGAGGTCTGCCTTTCTGGAAAAGAAATGCTGATTTTGGTTCTTTATTTTGTCCTGGCCTTTTTATGCTGCTGTGTACTGGAAGAAGAGAATAAAAGTGAGCACTAGATGAGCTGTGAATTCCCTTTGGACCAGACTTTGGGAGTCTCTGCTCTGACACATATTTTGGGGTTACTTTATCCTGAGGGACTTTATTCACAAAATCTCAGAACATATTCTTCCAATAAGATTTCACATAGTTCGATAAATGTTTGGATAAATTTCATACCATCTTATCAAAGCAGACAATAGTTCTTTCTTGAGGAACTGAGCTTAAGTGAAATGCTCATTTATGTTGGTGGAATAATAATTAAGAGTACAAGATCCAAATCAGTGCTTTGTTATTCTGTTGCAGGAGTAGGCTGAATCAAGCCTCTGTCAAGAACCACTGGTGAAATACTGAATTAACATACCCAAGACCAGCACATCAGGAGGATAGCCTTCTACCAAGAATAGTGTGGAGATATACCTTGTTCACAGAAGCTCTGGAAACATCGTGAGACTTGGACAGACACAGTGCATCCTCAGAAGGCAGAGATGCTGCTGCTGTCTGGGCATTGCACACTCTGTGTTCGTGACAGATAGAAATAATGCCCAGTTTTGGGGGAGCTTGGTGGTATGGGAGACAGTCACAGTAACTCTAATAGGGTGGCTTATCACTTTCTTGTGAAGCCAGGTACAGATTCTGTTCTCTTTTGCACCCACAAATCTGGTATAATATTAATTAGATTGTCATAAGGGTGCATTAGTGAAGATCCATAAAACAAAAAAAAAGGAAATGTTCTATAGTCATGCTAAAACTTGGTATGTGATTTATGTGAAGGGGGTGAACAGAGATCATTAGCCATGAAACACTGCTTTTCCAGAAATATGAAATATTTAGGTAAAATATCTAGGTAAGATCTAACATAAATTTGATTACTGCCTGATAAAATGGTGTCTCTTCCCTTCTAAATAGGTTTGATCATCTCCTCAGTGCAAGCCCTGCACCTTCAGCTAGATTCCTTCCCAGGCAGCTACAGTGGATCTGCTCACCAAGGGAATTTGTCCCACTGGATTCCTTTTTTTATTTTTTTTTCCGTGCAGTTGAATGAAAAGTGTGTGTCTTTTGAAGAACGGCAACTGAAAGAAATATTGATGACTGCCAGGGCATCTACAGAAAAAGATAAGAAAATTACTCTACTACAACAGTGAAGACAAAGGGGCTTTGTTAACACTTTCTTGTAGGTTGTATATATTAATAGTAACAAGTAAAGTTTTGTATTTTTTCAGAGAAACACACAAGGCCTTGAATTGTATTGTTTTAATTGCAACTAACTGAATGAATTAAGTGGAAAATCACACACAGTACTTTGATTGTCTAATTCTCTGTATGTGAGGCTTTGGGAACAGTTTGTTATTATAAAAGAACAGCACTAACCAGAAATCAGCCAACATGTAATTGCTAGGCTGAGGGGCAGTTTGGGGAAAGCTGATACTTATTTATACATTATTAAATAAAAGCACATAATATGAGGATCATCTCTCACTGCCTCCACTTCATACATTACTCATCTTCCTAAATTTCATGGTTATGTACTCCCTTAGTACATTGCTGCTTATAACCAGTGCAGGCATCAAAACCACCCACATCCAGGAAAAGAGATGCCTGTGCATTTGTTATGATGGCAGATTTGGTTGTGGGACTCATCAAAGATTATGAACCTTCAGTTCAAGGAAAGGAATCTTGACTCAAGTTTTAAAGGTTGTTTTCAGTACCTAAAATACACCTGGGCACCTGGGACTGTTCAGGCGGCTGAAATTCTGGCTGGTGTTTCCAATTGACAATGTACCTTTAGAGATTTACGGTCAGTAAATCTAAATGTACCTTTAGAGATTTACAGCCAGTACCCTGATAGAAGATTACCCTAATAGCCAGTACCTAAATAGAAGACTTAAGGGCAATTTTGGTGTTAAATTTGACAGATTTCCCAAAAAAAAAGTTGGTTATGTAATTCCCATCAGTTTTGGTAAGAATCAGGTAACTTCTGATTATCTCCAGTGGTTCTCACTGCTCACTTGTGCCTTACTACCATAGGAAACAGCCACTTGCAAGACACAGATAGAGGAGGCAGGTGGTGAGTGGACTCATGAAGAAGGTAGAGCAGTACTTTATTCTCAGTGGTTTTGACTATTTCAGCTCTCCTGGAGGATAGAACTGCCATTTGTTCCTTTAGCACAAATTTGAGGGCTTTCTTCTCGGAAAGCAAGGTCTGTTTCAGAGGACACAGAAGCAGTTCTTTGTGCCATGTAACAAGGGGTTGAGTAATTCTGGCCTCACAAGTGAGATGCATGTCTTACAGACCAAAGGCCCTCGGTGATCTGCAGCAGAGAGCCTGTGGATGGCAAGGTGTGCCAGCACCTGGGGAGTTGGCACTGCTGGACACATCTGCAGACTTGCTGAGCTGCTATATACAGTGACATTCATGCTGTACAAACAAACCCCACTATTAAACCACTTAAACACTGTTTATGCAACTTCAAAATGGTAGAGGCTTGATTTTATGACTTCATCTGCAGGCTTGTTGAAACTTACATGTCCACGCTGAAGTGGTGTGAAGATTAAATTGCTAATCCTAGTTACCAGTATAGACTGTTGCACAGAAGGTGCCTGAGAGGTGGAACTGGGCAGCGTTCAGCTTTGCACAGCTCTTGCCAAGAGTTATTTGGTATCCCTGTTGCTGTTTTTTGAAGTCCAAAAATATTTTCCCCCAAATAACCTATTTTTCTGCAAGGGAACACAGCTGCATTTATGAAAGGTCTTGGCTTTTACAGTAAGTCTGGTTTGTATAGTTTCCTCTCTCTATGTATGTTATCTGCATAAGTACCAACAGTCATAATGAAAAACACAGTTTTGTTACAGGAATTTTTAACAGTGGTTTTCAGCAGTTTAGAAAACATTGGAGCTACTTCCAACAAATGAAAAAAATCTACACAAAGCAGCTTTGAAAATGTTGATGCACTTTGGCAGATAAATCTTTGGTTTTCACCCTGCTCTATTATTCTTTCAGTGATACTGAAACCAATATAAAGCATTATTGATTTCAACCAGCTCAACACAAGATGCCATATGGCTTTCACCCCACTGTCCCCTGCAGTGGGGGGCTAAATCTAGGCTGTGCTCTTGTGGCTGAGTGTTCTGAGACAGCTTCTATTCAGTGCTTGTGTGCGGTGCTAAAGCTGTCTTCACTGCACCTCTTTTTCCAGCACGACATAGGAAGTTTCCCAGATTGAATTCTCAATCACAAAACTCATATGGGAGACACTCAAAATGTAAGACCTTTCAAACCCTTGTGAGTTCACAGCATTTAAAGATAAGAGCACAGTATTGCCAAGAAATGTGTCTTGTTGAGGCCCACAATTAACTTTATCAAAAGAAGGAATCTTATTTTTGCCTGCTGCAGATAGAGGTTGCCTCTCAAAGCAGCCTAAAGTTAGAGATAGCATCTGGTTCAGATCACGATATGATGAAAGATTCAGGTTAATTAGTATTTATTCTTAGTTGATAGTTATTCCTTTTGGCTTGAGCTAACAAGCAGGAGTTGGAGTCCCACAAAGTTGTGTCTCCTGGGATGAGAGATGAATGAGGGAGACGGTCTCCATGGTGAAAATGTATTTAAGGATGGGATTGTCAGTAAGAAAAACTGGCCATTGCCTTGGATTCTGATAGCCTGATGGGAGGATGCTCTGAGGGCTGACTCAGTGCAAGCAGGGAGGGTTGGATGTAGGCATGGACTGAGGCATCCCATGGGGCCATGGACAGGGAGAGGTGCCCTGGTTCCCTGCTCAGTCCAGTGTCCTCACATGTCCCTGCCCCCACAACTCCTGTCCGGCAGGACAACACCAGTTGCCTGAACTGGGTGGTTTTGGCTGCAAGGAGCAGTCAGGCAGCAGCTCTGGAGAAGGTGGCTTCTCAGTGAACCTCTGAGGCTTTTAGTTCCCCTTTCTTGGCACTGCTTCCTGCAGCACCACACAGGCTCTACACACCACACCACAGTGTAAGAGCAGCTGTTCATCTTAGATAGAATTGTTTTTTGCTGAGGTCTCCTAACTGCTTATGCAGCCAGGAGGAGCCCACCAGCTGGAGAGCAGCTTTCCATGCTTTTTCGCTTTTTCATTTGCTTTTTTTTTTTTTAAATTGCTGTTGGTGTCCAGTTGGAGTTGAGACATTTCTAGCAGGATCGCCTGTGTGTCTGGGCAGAGTTGCTCTTCTCCAGTGACCTCATGGACTGTTTTGTTCCCTCAGGCACTCACAGAGAAGATAATGTCTACATTGGTGGAAATTCTCTGACTTCACAGGTTCCAGTGGCCTGGGCAAGGGCAGTCCCATAGGACAGGCACTGGGCCTCCTGCCCCACAGCCATAGGGCTCCCCTTTCCCGCTCTCTCACATCACAGTCTGGGTCGCTGCAGCAGGTGAGGCTGCTGGTATAGAAGGCTGTGGGGAGGCCATTCCTGTCCTGAGGGGCTGAGGTGATGGCCAGAGGGCCATAGGTGTCTCGGGCTGAGGCCATGGCGGGAGGGCTGTGGGTGTCTCTGGGTTGAGGTGATGGCACGAGGACCACGAGTGTCTCTTGGCTGAGGCCATGGCAGGAGGGCTGTGGGTGTCTCAGGGCTGAGGTGATGGCAGGAGGGCCGTGGGTGTCTGTGGGCTGAGGCCATGGCGGGAGGGCCGTGGGTGTCTGTGGGTGTCTCTGGGCTGAGTTGATGGCAGGAGGGCTGTGGGTGTCTCAGGGCTGAGGCCATGGCGGGAGGGCCGTGGGTGTCTGTGGGTGTCTCTGGGCTGAGTTGATGGCAGGAGGGCTGTGGGTGTCTCTGGGCTGTCATCATGGTTTGGAGCATGGTGTGGGTGCAGCTGGGCATCTTTTGCCTTGTGGACATGGCTGCACAGGCCAGCCAGTGCAGATTTGTGGCCCTCCCCTGCATTGCTTTCTCAAGTGTTTACTTTAAAGTCTCAACAAGACCTGAATTAATTCCCTTAATGTGGTTTTGGCTGTCCCCTTCTCCCCAGCCCTGTGGAGGAGCTGGGGAGGTGCTGGCCCCTGCACTGGTGTCAGGCTGGCCGTGAGGTGAGGCTGAACTTGCAATCCCCCTCCTCATGCTTCTCTTTGCAGGGGCCTTGCTGAGGAGCTGTGGGGTTGAACAGAGATAGAATAGCACAAACTGGGGTTTTGGGTCAGAGAAGGGGGCAAAAGGACCCCCAAACTTGCACACAAGTAAAATAGGTGGTAATTCTACCTTGGAAATACTATGGTACTCTCTGGAGAGATTCCTGAACACTGAGCACCTGCCTCATAGCACAGTGCTGGGCTTTGCAGACCCCTGGTTTCTCTCTGCTTTGCAGCCTGTGGCAGCCAAATAGGAGCCTCATCAGACAAGGCTTGTTGCTTCTAGCACAGAAAAATGCTAAACTTTAACCAAACCATGTATAATAAATGTTAATAGCACCAATTTCAGTGCTTATACCATCATAAATAAACTATTAAAGAGAGAAAAGCAAGAAAATAGTTTTGTTGCTCACTTAATTGAGGAGGCTTTATTATGTCCTGCTGTGCTGATGGTAAAGGCCTATTACCAAGGCTGAATCCCAATTAGGTCAGGTGTGTTCTAGGTCATTATAGTCACGAGCATCAGGTGTTTCAGTAGTGCAACAAACTATTTGGGAGTATCAGCCTAGTTATTTGAGAGTTTGCCCATGTAGAGGCATAGACTGTTGATTTGGCCACCACTTACTGTCAGCATGGCACACTTACATGGCTGTTGTTTGTGCAAAGGTGTGGACAGATTGTTTGAAGATTATTAAGCTGAGTTAAAACTGGCTCTGTTTCTCCCTTTCCTGCTTCCTTCCCCTGGTCATTAGTTAAATGGCTGGAATGTGGGTTAAATAAATACCCACAAACCAGCTGTGTCATTCATTTGCTTCCCAGAGAGAAGAGACCAACGCTCCTACCTGTTACTTCTGTGATGAAAATGGCAAGACAGCTATGGATCTGCAGTAAACTCCAAGCTATGTGGCAGCTAAAGGTAAGCTCAGAAATTAAGCTGTTACTATGAAAAGCACAAAGTTTAGAAGCAATTTATTCCTTGTGTTGTTTGTTCCTCATGTTGACTGCTGGAAAGTAAATTCAGTTTTGTGCTGTGCTCAGATACAGTGTTTCCCATATAAGTGTTCTGCAGCCTCACTGGACAGGATGGACTCTGTTTTGGAGGCATGAGGAGGCTGGATGAGCCAGTGTGGGAGAGGGACTGCCACCCTGGAAAGCACTGGAGCTGGGTTACAGTTATGAGATGCTAGACTTGAAAGAAGTTCTCTGTGTGCCTTCCTTTTCCCTTTCCCCTTCCTATCCCATGAAATCTGAGGTCTTGGAGATGGTGGTCCTCCTGCAGCCTTTGCAGCATCTGGCAGCTCTGAGAGAGCACAGACCTGCTCTGGACCCAAACATGGACATAGTTGTTGAGTATTAATGTCTAATTATTATAGCTGGTTTTCAGAGGGAGCCTTTCTTTTATTATGAAATGCATATTTATATGCTTTTCTGAACTGTTGTCTCAGACTTTGTATCACTTCAGGAAGAAGCTATACAAAGCTGAATGTTGATAAGTGTATACTAAAGAGGATGTGGTTAAGTTCACATTTTAAAATAGCTTTTCCACCACAAGGATTAGTGTCTACTGCCTTTCTTTAACTGATAACTTTTATTCTTAGTATCAACTTCTGACAACATCTCTGGAATATATTTGTAAATACATTTGCCAAAGTTATGTATTGGATAATTCCTCTGTTTCTAGCGTGTCTGAAATGACCACATACAAAATATAATTAAAAATTACCATGATACATGAATTACATGTTCCTATCAGCTTTTAAATATCTTACAGGAAATACTTTTTTCATTTTATTACATCTTTAAATTATTAATTAATAAATTACTAATTAGTAGTTTATTTAAATTACTGTTTAAATTGATATGGGGAAAATAAGCATATGTACCAAAGGGGACTGGCTAAAAGTATCTGTGTTATGAAGGATTTTCACACTAGCAGTCTTTACAAAACCCATCCAATGCAGTAGCATGGGAAAGCCTGTGGTTTTCAAATAGTTGGGGTGTGTGGAAAGGAAAAGATTACAGAAGAGGTTTGGGGGAAATAAATGAGGGGGAAAAGAGGTTGGCTTTTTTATTTGGTGTATTGACTGGCTGACAATTTAGACATATATATTTCTCTGTCCTCCCGTGACTGGTCAGGATTAAAGATGTCTTGAAAAAGAATGAAGATGTCTTAGATTCTCAACTATGATGAGTTTCCACCTGGTGATTATCATATTCCTCGCTTTATAGAGTGCTAAGTCTTTGATTTAGTTTCCTCTACAGGGAAATGGAACATGACTGAAGCAGACATTTACACTATGGTAGGTTTCAGAAGGTCCATGAGCTTTCAGCAATGCCCTCCACAAACACAACACAAATGCCAAAATGTTTCCTGAGATAACGCTTCACCAATGTTAATTTCTGAACTTGTATAAGTAATGAAAGCACTTGGAAAAAATATATATTTCCATAGATTTTCTGCTGATGATTTTGGTTGACTCTACCTTACTATACAAGCATGTTCTTATTGCACGCTTTGTGTAAGTAGAGCACTCCATAATAATAAAAAATAGCAGGACACAAGGGGGTATCATACTGTCCTTTCTTCCTTTTGTTTGAGCTTTCTGCCATCTTGGTAGGAAGTCTCCTTTTTATGTGTATTTCTTAATACTTAGCAACTGAATGTAACTTTTATCTGTTTATGGGTTTTGCATTTGAAAGATGACACTTTCCCACTGCACTGAATACTTTGCTCTTCTGTATGAATGATGTACACAGTTTTGGGGTATATACATTATTTTTCACCAGAAATAATTCTGATTCATGAAAGTAGAGAA